AATGTAACTTGCGTGGTCATATAAAGACGTGAAATCGCACGTCTTCCTGTGAAAGCCTGTAATATATAATTTTTTTTTATGTTTTATTTCCTCATTAATAATAATTATATAAATAATTATAACAATAAATTATTTATAAGAAAAATAAAATAATATGACAAATTAGTTTGTTTTTTCAGCACGTTTTTAAAATGCACCATTTTCAATATATGCAAAAAAATCATGGCCAAGTTATCAACAACAAAAAAATATAAGGCGTGCAACCGCATTCGTCTCCTGAGAAGACCTGATTAGGGTCAGCATTCGGCAATGCTGAATTAACTGCCAACTGTATCGCCAACTGTGTATGAGTACATCTCCGAATCACAAATTTTTGATAATGTAATCGAAGTGCTCATGTCGTTGTACGTTAAACCGAAAAACAAAATATTTACATGGCATCAATTAGCAACGCAAAAACAAAAACCTGGCTAGATGAATTTCTCCAAGCTCTTCAAACCCTTTCGAAAGACTGCAGCTTTAAAGGAGTAACAGCCGATATTTACTGCGATGAGTCTATCAGAGACGCATTTGTTACCAGCTTAGCTTCAAGTATTATACGCCAGAGGCTACTAAAAAACAAGACACTCACATTAACATCAGCGTTTGACCAAGCATGCTCACTAGAATATGCGCAAAAAGACTCCGAGCAGTATCAGTCTAATGTACCTCAAATCAATACAATGTGTAGTACAAGAAAATATGCTGATAATCAGCAAACTTCACCACAAATCATTAAAATGTGTTACTTCTGTGGAAACAATTGCCATCCACGCATTATTTTTCCTGCTAGAGATACTGTTTGTCACAAATGTCAGAAACAAGGACATTTTCCAAAAGTATGTAAATCGAATAAATCATTAGCTGTTGCTGAACCCGATTATATGTCTGCAACAATAAGTGCTGGAGCTCCTAATTGTCTTTCACACGCTATTCAAAAGGTTGAAATAAATGAACAGAGTTTCGCTACACTAATAGATACCAGAAGTTCTGACAATTTCATAAACAAACACATTGTTAATAAGTACAAAATTCCATATATAAAAAGCAGCGGTAGTGTATCAATGGCATCATCATTACTAAAAACAAATATCATAGGCTACTGTAAGGTAAATATGACTTTTCAAAATCAAAAGTATACTAACATCACCTTATCAATCTTACCTAATTTATGTGCTGATGTTATTCTTGCTCAAGCTTTTATGAAACAACATAGCAACATAACAATAGCTTTTGCAGGAAAATTACCCCCTTTGTTAGTTTGCAGTCTAAAGACATCTCCAGCAACATTATTTACGAATCTCTCAAAAGACTGTCATCCAATTGCAACTAAATCTCGAAGATTTAGCCAAGTCGATAGGCTTTTCATTCAAACCGAAATAAAAAAGTTATTAAATGACAAAATTATAGAACCAAGCAATTCACCTTGGAGGGCACAAATCATAATCACTACAAATTAACGATACAAAAAACGAATGTGTGTCGATTATTCCTAAAGTATAAACAAATTCACTTATCTTGATGCTTATCCTTTACCTAGAATAGACGATCAGATCAACGAATTGTCCAAGTACCACTTTTTTAGTACTCTTGATCTTACAAGAGCCTACCATCAAATACCTCTTCTAAAAGAAGACAAACCTTATACTGCGTTTGAAGCTGATGGAAAGTTGTACCAATTTATTTGTTTGCCAATTAGGCCAACAAATGCAGTTGCTGTTTTTTAAAGGACAGACCTATGCATATTTAGATAATATTACCGCATAACTAACATGACTTTAATTTAAAGAAACTATACAAAGCAGCCGAAGAAAACTAGCTTACGTTTTACAGCAGTAAAAGCATAATTTCAGTCAATACTATAAACCTACTCAGTTACGTTCTATCTCATAATAGTATAAAACCAGATCCAGAAAAATTAAAGCCTCTACTTAATTTACCTTTACCGTTAAACAATAAATCATTACAAAGAGTTGTAGGACTCTTTGCTTATTACTTCATAAGCATTTATTAATTCATCCCTAAATATTCAGAAAAAGTACGTCCATTATTACAGTGTTCAAGATTGCCACTTAATCAGCAAGCTAAAGACACTTTCATATTACTAAAAAATGATATTGCCAATGCTGCCGTAAAAACAATTGATGAAACAATCCCATTTGTTGTGGAAACCAACGCATCTGATTTTTCATTAGCTGCAACATCGAACCAGAATGGACAGCCAGTAGCATTCTTTTCAAAATCTCTAAACAAACATGAAATAAATCAACTGGCTATCGAAAAAGAAGCGTACGCAATTGTAGATTTCTTCGGAATAGTCTTCGGAAGTGGAAACATTATTTGACCGGACGCCATTTTAGCTTAGTGACCGACCAATAAGCTGTTTTGTACATGTTCAACCAGAACCATCGAGGCAAAATTAAAAACGACAAAATTATGGGATGGTGTACTGAACTTGGTTGTTACAGCTACGACATACAGTATCGAGCTGGAAAGTATAACTAAGCAGCTGATTGTTTAACGCGTTCCTCATGTTCCACCCTATTAAACCAAAAATTATCTAATGATAAAAACACAAATTCGCCATGTTCTTATATATGTAATAATAAATTAAAGTTAGCAGAGCTCCACAATTCTCTGTGTCATCCAGGCATAACAAGAATGAACCATTTTGTCCGCAGTCGGAATTTGCCATACTCCATAGAAGAAATAAAGAAATCAAATGTGTCATAAACCAGTGTATCACCTGCTGTGAACTTAAACCTCAATTTTACAAACCACCTAATGCTCACCTCATAAAAGCAATCCAACCATTTGAACAACTTAATGTAGATTTTAAAGGCCCACTTCCAACATCAACTAAAAATCGTTATATCTTTACAATTATTGACGAATACTCTCGATTTCCATTTGCTTTTCCTTGTCCTGATACTTCCTCTTCTTCGGTGTTAAAGTGTTTCAAGAACTTGTTCTCTTTGTTTGGCACCCCTGCTAATATTCATTCAGACAGAGGAAGCTCTCTAATATCAGAGGAACTTCGTAGTTTTCTGCATACTCGAGGTGTTGCAACAAGCAGAACAACGCCTTATAATCCTAGAGGAAACGGACAGGTAGAGCGTTTTAACGGAATAATATGGAAAACAACAACACTAGCTCTCAAATCAAGAAATCTACCAGTCAAAAACTAGGAAATTGTGCTACAAGATGCACTACACTCAATACAATCATTATTGTGCACTGCAACAAATGCAACGCCACATAAAAGGTTCTTCAATTTTCCACGGAGATCTTCAAACGGAAAATCCCAACCTGGCTGCTAGAACAGGGGAAAGTGTTTGTGAAGAAGCATCTTTGATCTAGCAAATAAGATCCCCTAGTTGAAGAAGTTGAACTAATAGAAGCCGAACCTTAATATGCACACATCAAATTTCCAGGCGGAAGGGAATCTACAGTATCAATAACATAGATGAGTATTTGACTTTATGAAAATCCCAGAAATTTTTTTTCTATGATAATCCCGGAAATTCCTGGAAAATTATTTTATTAAAATTGATCGCATTTAGTTTGAATGAAATAAAAAGCAAAAAAAAAAAAGAAAAAAAAATTGTTACAAAAATTGATCTTGTGAAAATTTTAATTATAGAAAACTTATTTGTTTAAATGCAAAAGTTGTCGTATGTAAAATTTTATGTAAAAGTATATTAAATTTTTTTCAAATTAATATCAAAAAACATCCAGAAATTTCTGAAAAAATTAAAGGTGTTTCAAATAAATTTCCGGAATTCCGGGAATTTCTGGAAAAAACTCATCTATGCAATAAAAGATATAGAGCTAATAGGAGATAATGATCTTCCCTGTTCAGATAATGAGATTGCTGACAAAAATAGTAACAACCACTCAGAGTATACTTCGCAACTCGACAAATCTTCAGTAAATAAAATATTTGTTTTTTTACTTTAAAGTAAAAAAACAAATATTTTATTTAAATTTTGGATAAAACAATTAAAACAGCAGCAGCAAAACAAATGTTTTATTCAAATTCTAAATAAAATATTTAAAATCATAATGAACAAAATAATGATTAATTTTAAAGGGAATAAATAAAATAAATATGGCAAAACAAACATTTTTTATAAATTCTGAACAAAGTAATTTTAAAAACACAACATTTAAAGGAATGTTTTAATTAAAATGTTTGGTATAATGTGCTTTTTTAACTTGTTTTTATGTTAATAATTTTATTTAGAACTTAAACAAATTTTAAATTTGAATAAAATTTTATTAAATTTTAAATTAAATAATTAAGATAAAAACGATAATGCATATGCTTTTACTAAATTTTACTTAAAAGTTTACACTTTTATTTATAAAAAAAAAACAAAAAAAAAAAACAATATTTCATTAAAACAAGTAAAGTAAAAATAGAAAAACAAATGTTTTGTTTAAATAAAACGAAAAAACGGATATTATTTTAATTTTAGATAAAATAATTAAAACAAAACCTGCAAAACTAATGTTTTAAAATCCTAATAAAAAAGTAAAAAGCTGCATTTGTTTTTCAAATTTTCAGGCTATGGCCAGCGTTTAAAAGAAAAGTCCACAAACTCAGTGTTTGTTTTTTTCTCAATTTTATGCTCAATATTTGCATTTAGTTAATTTGTCAAACCCTGTTTCCAAAATTTTGTGCTAATCGGATGCTGACCTAGAAGGCTTTTAGGTCATTTAGGTCAAATTTTTGCCTATCTTAATATAATATAACTGCATATTGCTTACCATTATAAGAAATAAAAGAAATAATGTTAAAAAATCAATAGAAAAACAAAATATAATATGAAATTAACACATATACAAAGTAGTATGGTAAATAACATACAACAAAAAACATGTTAAACTTTCTGTTATTTTTCTAAAACATTGCACACTCACTTTGATATATAGTTAAAAATGTGAATTAATTATACCTGACAGGCATTGAAAAGGATCTGATGCTCATATTTTTTTACTCCTAAAACTGTCTGAAACATTTCATATAGCTGCTCTTTAGATAAAATTAACTCAGAAGCAGCTGTAGCAGCAAGGCGTGCAGGTGTCCTTTTTTGATCTTCATCACCTCTGTATATAGCATCAAACTTTGCCATCCAAGAACTCAACACAGTTTCTTTACTTAAACCTTGAATATCAGGTATGCTACGAACGCGTTTTGTAATATTAGCTTTAAAAATCTCACGAAAATCGTTAGCAGAATACCCACCTGAGTTAACCATTTTATGCACTCTGTCACAACAAAGAAAACTGTCATAATATGATTGAACAGCAATACGAAAAGCTTCATCAGCAATTATGTTTGTTTTACCATCTAAAAACGAAGTAAAACGATCTTTAATAGTTGTTAAGTTTTGTTTAGTAACTTTAGAAGCTCTTCGAGCCATATCTGTAGACTGCTTTGCATTAAATGGATATGCAATACAACGTGAAACAAATACATAAAGTTGCAATCTTTTCATATGTTCAGAATCAGCTCGAAAATCATCATTAGATATTCCATCACTTGAAATATTTGAAATACTACCGATTTCATTTCCCTTTAAAAGTTTTGTACTAGCATTTGAACTTGTACGTGGAGAAGGTTTAGGAGAACCAGAAGAAATTAAACTTATATTATCTAAAGACCCATTTTGACCACTTTTAGAACTTGAGATTACATAGTCATTTGAAACATCATTGACAGATCCTTTAGGAGTGCTTTTGAGTAAAGTTTCATCATCATCATCACCTGAAGAATCAGTATCTATCATTTTTACACATATAAACTCATACTTTTAAAAATATTCTATATTGCAACCATTGACAAAGCATTTTTTCTGCTAAAAATATAAAGTATTAAAACATAATAAAAAAATCTTTTATCAAATCAACAACTTTTTGACAACCCTATAACAAATTAGTTCAAAACAGTGATTAGTAACTTATTTTTGAGCTGATATAAACTATAACATGAAATACAAAACAATTGACACATAAGTATACACTTAAAAGTCTACATTAATCATCTCATATAAAATTACAAAGTCCTCAAAAATTTTGGTAAATTTAAATATTAACTTTAAATATTAACTTTAAATATTAACTTTAGTAATAAAAAAAAAATTGTAAAAAAATTGTAAACATGCTTTATATGCAAATATAAATATAAATATAAATATATATATATATATATATATATATATATATATATATATATATATATATATATATATATATATATATATATATATATATATATATATACATATTTTTTTAAAAAGAAGTCTTATATATATATATATATATATATATATATATATATATATATATATATATATATATATATATATATATATATATATATATATATATATATATATATATATATATATATATATATATATATATATATATATATATATATATATATATATATATATATATATATAAGACTTCTTTGAAAAAAATTAAAAGAAATTGATTTTACAAACAAAACCTACATTTTATGCATTTAAAGGTATACCCTAAAAATAGTTAGTTATGACTTTCTATATTTTGTAATCTTTAATTATAACTAATTTTTTTTTTTTGACTTTAGTGTAATTATTAGTAAACTCCCTTAAACCTATGAGCCATTTAAACTTCGCTGTGGTTAGTACAGTTATAGATTATTTGCCAATACTTAAACTGTTTTATTCATCTTTATTTTTTAACAAAAAAAAAACAAACTAAAAAATTTAAAAATAATATAAAAGCAAAAATAAAATTCGTGTATTTACTTTATTGCAAACCGGATTAAAGTATAATTTAAAAAAAATAAATGTATAATTAAAACCATATATTTATTATCCTATGACTATTTAAAAATATATTCAATTAAGGCAAATGTATAATTAAAAATCTCATATTTATTTAATCCTTGGGATTTCCACCTAGAACGGGTTTATTATTTGATTTGATTTATTGTTAGATGTAAAAACTAATTTTAAATAAAAAATTAATAGCTTGCAAGTTTCAATCATTCCTTTGTAAAGTGTATCCGCTCGATGGCTTTTACTTATTACACCTAGACATCCCGAATTTAAAAACATTTTTTTTTCCCTATATATGTTTATTTTTAAATAATCCAAAAACGAAAACTGTTTTTGAAAACTCCAGCCGTTTTTAATGTGTTCCTAATTGCGTAATTAATCTATTAGGCATAAAATGAAGCTTTTTAGCATTAGAGTTTGAGCTGTATATTCTGGTTTAGTCTTTTTGTTTAAAACGTTAATTTAAAAATATAAAAAGAAATAAAAATGCACACAACTACTAACTAAATTATATTAATTTTGATCTTAATAAATTAAATAAAGTTCAATTAAATTAATATGGTTACTAGCTACGTAATACTGTTCAAGGGCGGCGCCAAGGGTGGTCTTATGGGGCTTCATTCCCTTAACTTTTTTTCTTTTAAAATCTATTTTTTTTTTTTTTTAAAAAAAAAGGAAAAAATTCTTTAACGCGCGTGGAAAAAAAGTAAAACAGTACAACTATCAAAAACTTAAATAAAGCTTTTTAAAATGATGCATCTAGAAAAACAGCCTATTTGTGAGACAGTTATGTTGTAGAAACTAACTCTCAGTATTTTTCTGTTCAAGTAAACATATGCAGTGCCGTGGCAAGTGGGTCTGTGCCCCTCCCCCCTTCCTTGCAAACTCAATTTCAATCAACAGCCTTGCTAAAAAAGACAAACATTCATCGATCATTGTTGACCTATTTAAAGATACAAAGAGTTATAGCTACATTTATTTATGTATAATGAAGCAAGATTATTTATACAAACCTATGAAAAGTGTTAATTAGTTTTATCTTGGTAAAACTACGTTCTGCACTTGCAAAGGTAACTGGTAAAGTAAGAATGATTTGTAACACAACAACTAGATTGGGATAAGTTTCTTGCATCTCTTCTTTGAGGCATTTTTTTTTTTGCTCCTTATTAAACTTCGCTGTGGTTAGTACAGTTAGAGATTATTTGCCAATACTTAAACTGTTTTACTTATCTTTTTTTTTAACAAAAAAAAAAAACTAAAAAATTAAAATATAATATTGAAGCAAAAAAAATATTCGTGTATTTACTTTATTAACTATGACAAGTCGTTTTAACTGCATTTCTAAATCCTGAAAATCTATATCACCAAGCTTCATTTGCAAACTTTTGCAATATATAGACAAAGAATTTTCATTACAGGCTTTGATCTTATCAAAGATTTAATGAAAATTCTCTTAGATTTGAGAAGAAGGTTGTTTTTTTTTCTTTGTTTTTTTTGCTGCATGCTTTCTTCGAGAATAAACGTGTTTTTACAGCAATTTAAAAATTAAATAAATTATATATATATATATATAAAAAAAAAAAAAGAATTAAAAAAATAAATTAAAAAAAATAATAAATAAAAAAAAAATAAAAAAAAAAAATTTAAAAAATAAATAAGTTTTAATATTTTTAGTTTTTAGTATTTAATCATCATTAAAACCGGAAATACGTTTCAAATTTATCAAACTATCTTCAAAATTTTGCAACACTTAGTTTTTTGAAAAAAATGGAAGTTACAATGAAAAATATTGAACGACTTATAACAACAAAACTCAAAGAACAAAAAAATATATATTTTTAAAGAAACTGACAAACTTCTGAAAAATCAAGAAACAACATTTACAAATATTATAAGCTCAAATCTGAAAATTATCACAGATAGATTTGATAAACTCGAAAGCGATATTAGCACCAACAAATCAAAATCTTCAACCTTAGAAAAAAACTTTAGAGATATCAAAGAAACTTTTAACTTCCAAAAGGAAAACTTCACAAATAAACTAGCACAAATGAGCCAAAAGTGTAATGATGAAATTAGCATATTAAAAAAGAAGACTTGGAAAATAGATCACACCGTAATAATCTAAGAATTGACGGACTAGCCGAATCTTACTCTGAAACATGGAATGACTGTGCTAGCAGAGTCAAAAGTATATTTAAAAACCAATTGGGAATTGCGGAGGACATAGTAGTTGAGAGAGCCCATCAAGTAGGACAAGTAAAAGAAGACAAGCCGCGAACGATAATTCTCAAACCTTTAAATTTTCACGAAAAAAAAAAAAAAAAAAATTATCTTTAGCAAAAAAACTTAAGGGCAGTGGAGTATTCATAAATAAAGATTACGCAAATGAAGCTTCAGAAAAACGAAAAAGCTTTGGGAAGAAATAAAAAGACACTGAAAAGAAGGTAATTTTGCAGTTATCAAATATGATAAAACTTTTGTACTAGAGTTTCGGAAATAAGTTAAGTGCTTAATCTCAGTTTTATAAAAATAAACTCTTAATCATGCGCAATGGCTTACAAAACAATTGAATTCTTTTGAATCTGATAACAACATTTTACTTAACGACTTTTATGACGCAGATAATTTTAAAATATCGTATTTACAAGTAAAACAAAATGCTATAATATAAATTTATAAGAACTCAGCTTCTTACTTCTACACCTTTTCAAGATGTAAATGAGAACATGAAAGTTGTAATTAAGAAGTCGTAATATGTAATTAAGAAACACAACATGTAATTGAGAAAACGTTATATGTAATTGAGAAACACAACATGTAAATAAGAAGTCGTAACATGTAATTAAGAAACACAACATGTAATTGAGAAAACGTAAGATATAATTGAGAAATCATAATATGTAATTGAGAAATCGTAACTTGTAATTGAGAACACATAAATTAAAATAGCAAATTCACAGTCTAAGTTTGTAGGTTGTTACAAAAGGTCTTTTTGGACATGAATTTAAGTTATAATCTTAAATTTTGTTGTTGAATGCACAAGTAATAATAATGGAATTGAAAGATCGTTGTGTTATATGCCAATACACTATGACCCGAAAGTCTGTGATTAAGCTAAATCCGTGTCAACATTTATGTCACCAAATTTGTTTACGTCCAGTTCTGGAACAACCAGATTCAAGTTGTCCGATTTGTCGACATGAAATACACACAACTGAACAAGTTGAAAGAAAACGTTACGTTTTATCTTCTCCAAATGACAGGAGAAGAGTTGTTGAATGTGCGGAGCGATTTGAAGATTGGGTGAATCTCGCGCAAACGCTAGGTATCAAATATAAGACAGCATACAATTGGGTTCGCAGCGGAAATTCAAATTTCATCGGAAAAGGAGGTTTTAAACCGAAAAAGTTGACCGAAGATCAAATCGAAGAAACATTAACATGGATTGAAAATGATTGTCAATTAACATTGGTGGCCATCAAAACAAAGATATTAAGACAATTTAACATAAACGTTAGCACAACAACAATAGCAAAATACCTCGAAGGCAGATTGTTCTCATTAAAAAAAGTGCACAAGGAGCCTTCTACAATGAACAGTTATGAAAACAAACAAAAAAGAGCTGAATATGTTAGAAACATCAACGAACATATCACAAATGGTCGTCAGATAGTTTGGTTGGATGAAACAAATTTTTACCTTTTTTGTAGAAAAACGCAAGGACGCGCGAGACAAGGAAAAAAAGCAATTATGAAAGTACCTGCTTCAAAAGGTTTAAACATACACTTGATCGCAGCTATTTCAACTACAAATGTCGTCATGATAGAAACTCGCAGGGGATCATTTAAAGCAGATTCCTGTAACGAGTGGATGTTGGCTATGTTTCACCAGTGGGTTACATCCGGGAATCGTTTGGAGGATTTGGTCGTCGTAACAGATAATGCTCCTTGTCACGCTCGTTTGCAAAGGGTGTTTGATAATTCACCAGCTCAGTTGTTACGTTTGGGACCATACAGTCCAATG